TAGGGCTTAGGGCTTAGGGCTTAGGGCTTAGGGCTTAGGGTTTAGGGTTTAGGGTTTAGGGTTGAGGGTTTACTGTTTGCTGTTTACGGTTTACTGTTTACTAATTACGGTTTACGGTTTACGGTTTACTGTTTACTGTTTCCTGTTTACTGTTTGCCATTTACTGTTTACTGTTTAGGTCCCAAGCCTCGAGCCTGCCACCCAAAAACCCCCAACACACCCGGAACCCTAAACCTTAAACCCTAGGCCCTAAACCTAAACCCTAAACGATTGCTCCGGCAAAGCCCTAAAACTACCCGGGCCTTGTCAAGGTCGGCGACGCGGTCCCTGAGTGAAGTCTTAGGCTTTCGTGGCTTGAAGGGGCTTAGGGTTTAGGGTTTAGGGTTTAGGGTTTAGGGTTTAGGGCTTAGGGTTTAGGGTTTAGGGTTTAGGGTTTAGGACTTAGGGTTAGGCTTTGAGCTAATTAGGGATGAAGTTTAGGATTCTCCTGTAAGAAGCCAAAAATGCAACCCTTCATCCTGAACCCCAAGACCCCAACATTGCCGGACACAAGTCCGACCGAACCCCCGAACCCTAGACCCCAAACCGAGACCCTTCACGAGCCCTAAGCCCTAAACCCCGAAGCACCCAAACCTCCAAAAAACAAACGTGTGCCCTACGAGTACAACCGCAGCAACCCAGAAAAAAACCCTGAAACCCTAGAACACATCTCTGAAAAAGGCACATCAGGGGTACTCGGCGGGATTCATTGGGGGAGGGCACTCCAGGAATACCTGGCTTCTCTGCGGGACTCCCGGGACGTTGGCATTTGAGGGATGCTCTGCACTTGGCTGCACTCAGGAGGGCAGCAAAAAATTAAACTTTTAGCTGCCTTATTGAGAAACCCCATAAACCCAACTAGGCTAAAGATGTAAAGATACAGTAAAGCACCACAAAGTGCAGGACTCTCTGTGGGAATGTTTCGGGGGTGGGATACTCGAGACCCAGACCAGGAGACCGTGCGAGGAGAATGGGTGACGTAACATCCAACGACCCAAGTCCCAAACCCGAAAACCCTAAGCCCTACCAGCTTTCACCCCAAATCCCCAAACCCCAAACCCCCGACCCTAAAGCCGAAACCCTAAACGCTTAGTCCTAAACCCTAAGCCCCAAACCCCAAACCCTAAACCCTAAACCCTAAACCCCAAACCACAAACCCGAAACCGGAAGACAACGCGAAGCTGAGGCCGCTGCAACGCTTTGTCGGCACCCTCCAGGTCCCTCAACACCTCGTCTGGGGCTTTAGGGGTTTTAGGGGTTTGGGGGTTTAGGGGTTTTAGGGGTTTTAGGGGTTTTAGGGGTTTTAGGGGTTTTAGGGGTTTTAGGGGTTTTAGGGTGTTTTTGGGGGTCTAGGGGTTCTAGGGGTTTTGGGGGCTTTAGGGGTTTTAGGGTGTTTAGGGATTGTAGGGGTTTTAGGGGTTTTAGGGGGCTTTAGGGGTTTTAGGGTGTTTAGGGGGTCTGGGGTTTTAGGGGCTTTAGGGGTTTTAGGGGCTTTAGGGGTTTTGGGGCTTTGGGGGGTTTAGGGGGTCTAGGGGTTCTCGGGGGGTTTTAGGTGGGACTTAGAGTCTTCCCTTTCTTTTAATGGGGTTCGAGGGTTTTAAGGGTTTAGGGTATGATTTGGGGTGTACGGTTTAGGGGTTGAAGGTGGGAGGTTTAGCGGTAGGGGCAATAGGGGTGTAGGGTTTGGGGGGTTTAGGGGTTTAGCGGTTTAGGGGTTAGGGGGTTAGGGTTTTGGGTGATAGGGTCCAGCGAGTGTAGTGTCTAGGGCTTTAAGGTTTCGTGTTACACCTGCCCTCAGAGCCCTTAAGCGCCTGCAGCCCCTTGAAACCCCTAAAACGGCTAAATCCTAAACCGTAAACCCTAAAGCCCCTAAAGCCCCTAAAGCCCCTGAAGCCCCTGAAGCCCCTAAAGCCCCCCAAAAAAAGAAGCCGCTCAAAGAACTCCAAAAGCGAATGCAACAATACTGTTGCGCAGGCCTACCTCGAAGCCCTTTGAGGCCACAAGGCCCCTAAACCCTAAACCCTAAACCCTAAACCCGAAACCCTAAACCCTAAACCCTAAATCCTAAACCCGAAACCCTAAACCCGAAACCCTAAACCCTAAACCCTAAACCCTAAACCCTCAGGAAAAACCCAGACCCTACACCCTATAGACCATAGACGCTAAACCCCAGAGCCGTAAGCTCCGCACCATGCGCGCTGCGCCCAGGTTGTTCCAGATGATCCTCAGAACTTGGGAGGATTTAGGGTTTAGGGTTGAGGGTTTAGGGTTTAGGGTTTAGGGTTTAGGGTTTAAGGTTTAGGGCTTGGGGCTTAGGGCTTAGGGCTTAGGGCTTAGGGCTTAGGGCTGAGGCTTTAGGACTTCGGGAGGCGATCGGGGCCTGGGGACTTGGGAGGGCTGTGCTGTTCAGGGTGTAGGGTTTAGGGCGTGCCAAACGGAAGCGCGCTTTGGGAGCGCGCGG